CAGCAGAAATCCAAGATGGATGCCAGCACATGGAATAACATAACCTCTGGGAAAAGGTAGGACCTTGACAGATAGTTACAAAGCACACAAAATAAGATTGCGCTAATACAATTAGACTGGAAATAAAATATAGAAGAAAATGAAAGAGTGAAAAGATATAATGTCCAAATAAAATGTGCTCGAGTGCTCTTCCCAACAAATTATAAAGTTCATTGGTTAGATGACACAATTCCTTGTAGATCCAACTTCAATGAATACGTCACCCTGTGCACTTGCGTGTTCGTCCACCACACACTGCATTCAGCAGATGGTATGCGACCACTTATATGTACAAGTAAGTCAAAAAATGCTTTCCAGCACTCGATGTGTTCCAAGACTTTCCCACTGGCCTCCACTTCTCTAGGACCTCAATACAAGTGGTCCATTCCTTTAAGGTATTCTTTACTCCACCTAAGTACTCAGAGGGATTCACAATGCAAACGGACCATGGCAAAACAAAACCAAGGATCTCATAGCATTTACCTTTTTATCATTAAAATAATTTAAAAGCTTCCATATGCACTCACAACTCTATATAGTAGGCAAGCATGTAATGGTTACCAGAAGCAATCGAACGCCACTTTGCGTTTCAATGTGCGTTCCAAAGGGAAATGACGTCCCGGAAGTCCCATCCATGCATTTCGTCACTAGAATGCAACGTTCTCAAGAGTTTGAGATTGTGATGTCACCACCCTACCTCTGTACTTTGTCCATTGATTGAGAAAAGTACAAGACATTCTCTGAATAGCTCCTCTGCCAAGAAAGTGACCCCCTGTGTTCACTAGGCTGCAGGGCAGTACCTCAGTACAGGAAGCAGCTGTCAGGGATGCGGGTGTGACCAGAAGTGTGTGGACTGACACAGGGAAACGCAGCTTCAGATATGGTATAAATAAGACAATTTATTAGGACTAACAATACAAACATAAACGCAGTGCACCAAACCCCAAGCTAACACAAATACATACAACAAGGTGAAACAAACCCAAACCTAAACTGATACAGATACACAGGTACATACACATATAGAGCACAACATAGTCAGGCAGGCCGGGTCAATAACTATCGGGCAGGTAGGTACAGGAGGAGCAGGCGGAGAGAATGGTCAGGGTCACAAGCCAGGGATCAAAACAGGAGAAGTCAGCAGAGGTCAGGATCAGGCAGGGTCAGCAACAAGTCAGGCAGAAACAGGAACAGGAACAGGAATGCAGGTTACAAGATACAGGGGCCCATGGAAAAACACACACCAAGGAACAGACTGCAGGTCTGGCCATCCCTTAAATACACCACCTGCAATCAGCCCCAGGTGATGGCTAATTGCCGAAGTGAACCTCTGGTTGTTGAGAGCACCCGCTGGCCAGCCCTGGTACTGCAGCCCACAAGGCAGGTGAGTCCCACCACTATTGGCAAGTCCATGCCTGACAGCAGCATACAGCAAGGATCAATGCAGTATTGGCATCAACCAGAGGGGTCGGCCAGGTATGGAATATGTATCCTTACATTGGTGCAAGCTCGACAAATTTAACTATGCAGAAATATACCATGCTTGCAATTTGGCTTTACTCTGAACTTGCCTTATCTGCAGAATTGGCACCAGATTCATAGAATATACAGCGCTATCTGTGTGGAAGGAATCCACAGTTTATTGTAGAGGCCTATGGGAGGTCCAAAACCCAAAGAATTCCCATATGTACAAAGCCCCACTTCTTCCTTCAGAGTTTTACATAAACCTTTCACTCCCCTTCCAGACAACGCTGTGAGAGCAGACATTAGTCAAATTCTGGCACCTGATTATTTGCCTATTCAGGGCTTGGTTTGTAGCGGACACCTTAGTTACAATATATTTGCTTGTGTTCACAGCTTACTTATGCAAATATCAATTTAATAGTCTTCAGTGGCAGCAACATACATGGTGTTCAACATGGAAAACAAAATAAAATAAGTTCCCCAAAGTTTTCTTTAGCGCTTTTGCTGCCTGAGTTTTTTTTTTTTTTTGCACACAATGGCCATTTTTGGCCTGAAGAAACCCACCGATTGGATGCAAGTGTAGCACCCACTAATGCGCTACTAGAATTGTGTAGAGTATTAGAGGTAAAATAACTGTTTATGGCTCATGGTAGTTGTTTGAGTCATGTGATTGAGGTCAAGGTTATTGCAGGTCAGCTGGATGACTCTACAGGTTGTGGCTCTATCACCTCCTCGTGACTCTGGAGGACCATAGAACCTTCCAGAGGTCGGTGAGCAGGAATGGGTGGAGGCCTAGTCTTTATGTTTATGGGGGGGTCCGGCAACGACTGACAGCTTTCAGGAAAAAAATAGTGCAGGATCTGCTTTGTACATAGGAAGCAAGTGTCCCACTTCCACTGTTTCAAGTCAAATGGGAATCCCATAATCCCTATTTCCCTATCCAAGTTGAATTCCTAGTAATAAAACAACAAAACCAAGTTCATGGACTGGTCACTGTCTTTGGATACAAGTCTGTGTGAAAAATACCCTGTTACCTGGCTGTGCGGAGGGAAGCTTAGTATACCCACAACACAGTGGCCCTCACGAGGGTAGCACTACACAAGCATTGTCCTGCTACATGCCTTGTCCCATGCCGCCATCTTTGTTACTGATGTCATTAGGTGCTGGGTGCCTCTTCCTATACAGGCAACCCAACCTCCTGATGACCTGCATCATGCCCATCCTCCTCCAGCCACTGTAAATGGAAAGTGAAGTATACTGGGATATGTGATATGCATATCCCAAGAGGCTTCAGAGCAGTGGAGGCATCATTCTTGTCTTGGTGAAAATGCTAGCTAGGAGCAGGGACATAAAAAAAGGAAAAAAAAAGGGACACAATTGCCATTAGGTGACGCCTCAAAAGCCTTCATAGCTCATCATTTCAGAGCTAACCATGAACGATGGCCATAGAATTATTCCTTTAATTCTGGCATATAGGGCAATGTCTAAAGTGTATTGTCCAGCCGCCATTATCATGTATATGTGCCCCTGACTACAGAACAACAAACATGTCTCCCCTGGGACTTTTCAGGAGCCACAGATTAAAGTATAAAGTCAATATCGGTCATCAAAATTCCTTAAAATCAATCTGATTTAAAGGAATTTTGATGATCAATATTGACTTTATACTTTAATCTGTGACTGCTGAAAAGTCCCAGGGGAGACATGTTTGTTGTTCTGTAGAAAATAATCAAGGGATGTAGCAGTAGGATTCACAATTCCACCACCCTCTAATTTCTATTTCTGTGCCCCTGATAAGCACATTCGAATATGCATGTAAGGGGTGCGTGGGGTTTTTATAATTTTTTTCTGGGTGGGGTTATCTTTGTAAACTTTATTTAGTTATTTTTTACTTACCTCTATTGCTACCACAAGGGACTGCTGATAAGCCCCCTATGTGATAGCATAGGGCAGGTGACAGGTTCTTCTAAAGGAGACATCAGAATTCTGATCCCAGACCCAGAACTGCTCCCAGAGCAGATCAAACAGAAATTTTGCTCAATCTGCTGTTTGCTAGGTGTTTTATAGCCCTGAACATGGAAATTCTCAAAGCTGAACTCTTCCAGGTTTATGTCACCCAGGGAAAAATCAGCATATGCTCTCCATCCTGACAACCAACATGGACATCCCAGAGAACCCAGGAAGAAAATTTAAGCCCTGGAGGTTGGGATGGGGGGGGGCATGTAAAATCATTTCTAAAGCATAGCTGGCAGTCAAGATAAAAAATGCCAGACTGCTGCTGCAATATTATGTAGAACACCAGCAGTAAAAGGGTGACAGTGACCCTGATTTCATAAAGATAAGGAGTTTTTTTTTCACTTTCAGTGTGAGTTTTCAACTCTATGGGTGAATGAGATGAAACAAAGTGAAAATCTATTTTGCAATGTAGAACTTTGCTCTGATAGTAAACTTGCTGTATTCCTTTAGTACATCGATCCCACCATCACCTTGCCCATGTGGGGCAAAGTCAAAGGTAGCAGGGTGAGAGTCCTCAGCCCTTTGTAAGCTCCAAGTCATGACCTTACTCCTAGTCTATTTCAACACAAATGCTCTGAAATTTAGCTTTATGGAGTCCTCTGATCCCCCTTGGAAGTTCTAGTTGAGGGTAATAAATATCTAAACAGCCATCCTCTGTGAATGTAAGTAAACATTTAAAAAAATGGAACAGACAGGCTACATCTCTTGATCGGATACAATAGGTGCAACAATTGCAGTACCCTTACCCCAATGTCCCAATCCAAAGACCTTCATCCTTCAAGCTGTCGAGCTGGTACATCTCCGTTCTGACAACTTGAAGGGCAGAGTTGTCTCAGTTTGGAAATTTTAATCAAGTTGTGCCTTTGTAGGCAGGTGTAGTCTTTATAAGCCACTGCACATGATGCTTGACTGTAGTGGCAATGCAGATGGGGGAGGAATTCGGGATGAACTTGGTTACTCTATAGTTTCTACGGTCATGGGAGACAGCTATCCCATTAGTGACATTGGTGGTCATCTTGGGTTGGCCAGAGTCTATTTAAGACCCTGGCTCCCAAGCAAGTGGACAGTTTAGGGACAGAAACCCTGTTTGTCAGGAACAGTGAAAGTGTTAGGGAAAGGATCCAGTAGAGTAGGGAGAGAGCAGGGCCTACGTCTATCTTCTGGAAGCCTCCCTTTGGGTCGTACTGGCCAAGCCACACTTTGACAGCTTTGGCGTTTGGCAAGTGCTGTTAGCATCTAGGAGTCTTCTGTTTGCAGTTTATCTTCTGCTCAGTTGTAAGTGGCCCTGGATGGGTGAGCTTCCCGCCGGGCCTGTTTGTACCGTTGACTTGGCTGTTACAACACAACATTCTTTGCAAGTCAGGATTTTGTATGTTTACTGCCTGCTGCACCATCTTGCACCTACCCAATACCTTGATTCAGGGAGGTATCCTACCTACCCTGTTCCCAAAAATGTACTTTAATTTCAACCCCAACCTTACCTTTTTCCTTTTGTTTTGAGTAGAAGAACCAAGACAACAAAGCTAAGTCACAAAGGCTAAAGATCAAGAAGATCCAGAAGGTAATCGCCCATGGGGAGGCTCGAGGGAAGATGTCATCTGTGCAACAAAATATGGAAAGGCAAAAGTGGAAAATGTCAGAGAAGAAATATAGATTGGAGGAGAGCGGAAACTTTGAGCTGAATTTGAAATATGACATAGACTACCTGCTCACGACTTCATCTATGGTGTGTCAGTCCACCAATCCAACTTTTGTTGGTAATCTTGGAACCCTGGTTTGTGGTGTAAGAGAGGTAATCCAGTCATACTAACTGCAGGTTCCCTGCTGTCTCTTACATACAGAGAGCCAGAGGTAACAAAATGTGTGCCGGGCTGTGTGTGTCCATAGACACACAACACCGGTAAGGCACGCTCCCACTTCCTCCTCACAGGAGTTTGACTTACAGCAGCAGCCTATAGCTCCCATGAGACCAGGAAGTGGTAGAGCGGAGCTGTAGCTGGGAGCAGCGCTGGATCACTGAGAGGAGTCAGATAAGTGTTTAGAGATGAGAGGGAACAATATGTGGATTTTTTTACCTTAATGCACAAAAAGCGTTAAGGTAAAAAAATGTTTAGCCTTTAGCACCATTTAAACTTTGAGGTTACAGTCCTTAGTTGTGACATCCTCGCTCCGTTGCCATCTTCTAAAACCTGACAAGACACTACGAATGTATAGACAATGGAAAGGGCACCTGAAGAATAACCCTCCCACTATGCAGTCCAGATAATAGAAGACTTGGGACCATCATGTGACCAATATTTAGGGACGAAAAAGTGGTTTTTGGTTTAATTTATTTTTAACTAATCTTAGCAATTAGGGGGTAAAAGGTAGGTAGGGAAGAGTATGGCTGGAGATTAATGATGAGCTTGGGTTCAGGCTTGGGCTTGGTCCAAACCCAAGTTCAACTTAACCTGAAAATTATCTATCACTGCTGGGCCAATGAGCGGTGGGTGGGAGAATCCCAGGGGCAGGGACATCAATGATGTAATGAGGGGCAGGGATGCTCATGACATCATTGATGTAACATGGCCACATGGCCATGGTAGGTCAATTTGGTTGACCTACTATGGCCATGTGGACATATTAGGTCAATGATGTCAGAAGAATCTCCACCCAGCATTGGCCCAACAATGACAGCTAACTTCCAGGTTCAGATCAAACACAAAAACGAGCACAGAATAATTTTGGTTCCATTATAAGATTATGGTCTAGGATGCTGAATCTGGCCACAGGACACCAACCTGAAACTGACACGTAGACGCCAGTCTCTGTCTTTGTCACGGGATGCCGTAGTCCACAGTAGACATGCCCACCTGAGGCATCTTGAAGGTGAATGTTGCTTTGGACCTGGAAAAGTCCACTGGAGGTGTTTTTCTTTGCACTGTGATTTGCTGGCACTGGCTCCTCGTTTCCTATCACCCAGAACATTGTTGGCTCTGGAAACCACTCCTCAGAGGAACATGAGAGAACAACAGAACTGCCCTGCAGAGCAACTGCTACAAGAGGCGGAGTCCCCAAACCTATAAGAAACAAGATGTCATCAGACTGACCAATGGAAAGAATGAGTGAAGTAATCATTCTTACAAAAATGGGACTCTACAATTTATTTTCTTGAGCTCCAAAATTAATAACAGTTCTTTGTTCTTCAGGAATTTCATGCACTGCCTAAAAATAACCAAGCTGAAGCAATTTTAAGTATAAGACTTCCATTTTCCATGATGTATTACCTAAAATGTCAGTAAATCTAGCAGACATAAGTCTGATTGTCTGCCATGCTTCTCACCTCAGAGACATTTTCAATATCTTCCTTTGTTGCGAGACTGATAATTCATGCCGTCTATCCAGTGCCTTAGGCAACTGTCATGGCTGCCTTTCTCTAGATACATCTGGCTACAGACATCCCTCATTTTATGATAAGTCCAAAAGGACAACCATTATTTCTGTTAATAAAGTTCCTTCCTTCCTTCCTTCCTTTATTCTTCCTTCCTATTCATTTTTTCCTACTTTCTTTCCTTCCTTTTTCCCTTTCTTCCTCTTTCATTTTTCCCATGTCCTTCCTTCCTTCTTTCTTTCCATCCTCATTTCCTTCCTTCCTCTTTCATTCTTTCCTTCCTATTCTTTTCTTTCTCCTCCTTCTTTTCCTGCCTTCTTCCCTTCTTTTCTTTTTTTTTTCCCTTCATCCTTTCCTGCCTTTTGTTTGTCCTTCCTTCCTTCCTTCTTCACTTCCTTCCTTCCTCTTTCATTCTTCCCATCCCATTCTTTCCTTTCTCCTCCATCCCCCCCTTCCTTTATCTCTTCCTTTCTTTTTCCCTTCCTTCTTTCCTGCCTTACTCGGTCCTTCCTTCCTATTCATTCTTTTCTTCTTTCCTCCCTTCCTCACTTCCTCTTTTTGTTCTTCCCATCCCATTCTTTCCTTTCTCCTCCCTCCCTTCCTTCTTCCCTTCCTTTTTTCCCTTCTTTCCTGCTTTACCTTTGCCCTTCCTTCCTTTATTCCTCCCTCCCTTATTTCCTTCCTTCCTCTTTTCATTCTTTGCATTCTTCCTCACTTTCTTCCTTTCTTTTTCATTCTTTTCCTTCCTTAACATAGCATAACATACTGTTTGGTGGGACTGCAGGAAGCACTCAAAGGCAGTGATTACGGAGTGAAGGCTGAGCCAGGACTTGAGTTTTGAAGGGCAATTTACCTTTAGTAGACGTTGTCCTTTAAGACATGTCCCCACCTTCCTTTGTGCAGCCCACCTGGTCTGATACTTGCCTCTTTCTCCAGCAGTCTTCGCTGAGTGGCCTTGTCCAGTCTATCTTCAGAAAGCATCCTCGTTGGGTACTTTGCATTCTGCACACTCAAGCCATGGCCCTATTCATTCCTATGGACAGCCATACTTTAGCGCCTCCAGCAGTCCTGGCTTTCCCCATAGGAAGGAATAAGGCCACAGTGTATAGCCAGGATGACATTTCCGAAACAAGGTTATGTGGCTTTAGGCAGATCAAGAAGGAAGGTATTTCTCCAGGTGACCTGAACTCAGGGCGGGGTTGGCTGGCATGCCTTAAAGGACAACTTATACCAAAGGATCCTTTAAATGTCAGTTTTAAAATTCAGCTTTGCAGAACCCTATTTTGATTTGAAAAAAATCAAGGCAAAACTATTTGTGTAGCTAATTTGTTGATCTCTAGAACCTTATCCAAAGCTCTGAGCAAAGCTTCAGTACTACCATGTCCACATGCTGCTGGATTTTAAAAAAATGGCATTTCGGTCAGACTAACCCACAACGGTGAGTGTCATGATTCCCTCATCAGAGCCCTGGGTGATGGTGTTCTCCACAAAGCAGTGATATTTGCCTGCATCGGAGAGGCGGACCTGGCGCAGACTAAGTGACAGATTTCCTTTGTCTGGTCCAGCCAGCATAAAGGCTCTTCCGCGATAGTCCGGACTCTGTTGCTGACGGTCTTCATTGCCATCTTTGAGCAGGAAGGCGACATTGTGGAAAAGGTCATGAAACCAGCGCACCTCTAGGCCAACGCCAGACAATGGCGGGGTGACAGTGCAGGGCAACAGAATGTCCGATCCCACTGCTGTCACCATGAACTTCTGCTGAATGTCGATCAGAAACTGCGCTGAAAATGGAAAAAGGGATAGAGATAATTAAAAAGTCAGGGGAAAGTTGGAAGTCCTCTTCTGCATAAAGATTCAAAGTAAGAGAGTCAACATGGCTGCTAAGCTAGTAGGGTTTTCAGAACAAGGGGCCAGTAATGGCAACCAGTACTGGGACTGGTCTATTCAGTACCCAGGGCAAGGATGTGGAACTGCACCCCTCCCCCACTACTAATTAATGATGGACCGAACACCCTGTCAGGAATGGACTTGCCAATAGTGGTGGGACTCACCTGCCTTGTGGGCTGCAGTACCAGGGCTGGCCAGCGGGTGCTCTCAACAACCAGAGGTTCACTTCGGCAATTAGCCATCACCTGGGGCTGATTGCAGGTGGTGTATTTAAGGGATGGCCAGACCTGCAGTCTGTGCCTTGTTGTACTGTTTGCTTGGCCCTGGTTTCCTGATCCTGTTTCTGCTGTCCTGACGCTGCCTGAACTCTGCCTGTACTGACCTCGGCTAGTCCTGACCACTCTCCCGCCTGCTCCTGGTACTCCGTTTGCCTGTTTGCTACCGACCCGGCCTGCCTGACTACTCTTGTATCGTATGTTTGTTATCTGTTGGAGGTTTGGTTCAGTTTGTTTGCACTGGGTTATGTTTAGTTTTGCACTGCGTTTGTATTGTTAGTCTTAATAAATTATATTATTTACTATATCTGAAGCCTGCGTTTCCCTGTGTCAGTCCACACACTTCTGGTCTCACCCGCATCCCTGACACACCCCCTTGTTCGGTTCGTGGTCAAACATTTGAAAACCTAGCAAGAGTTCGACTGCGAGCTTCAAACCGGGGCAATTCACTAAGCGGTATCTTACCGTATCCGAGTATAAGATACTGCACAGCTATTAAAATACGGCATGAGTTATATTATTAAGTCATGCGGCATTTTAGTAGTGAAAACATTCTTTAATGTTTCAACTGTTAGTGGAATGTAAAAAGAATTGTCGGCAATTAAATTTATTTTAAAAATAAACAGCGTGGGTTCGGCCTTTCGGTCTGGTATGGCTTGTGAAGGGAACAGCGTGGTGGTCCCCCCCAAAATCCATACCAGACACTTATCCAAGCATGCAGCCTGGCAGGTCAGGAAAGGGGATAGATGAGCGAGCACTCTCCCCCCCCCTCCTGAACCATACCAGGCCACATGCCCTCAAGATGGGGAGTGCTTTGGGGCAAAGGCACCTTGTCCCCATGTTGATGGGGACTAGGACCTCTTCCCCACAACCGTGGCCGTGGTTGTGGGGGTCTGCGGGCAGGGGGCTTATCAGAATCTGGAAGCCTCCTTTAACTAGGGGGTACCGCTACTCATTCACAAAAAAAAAGTGTAGTGTAAAAAATTACAGTAGACAGTCTTTGACAAGTCCTTTATTAAAAACAAACATTAAAAAAACGTCCCCCGAAGCAGATCCAACATCGATCACAATGCTCGCTGCCACTGCCAACTCGGGAAAAAAAAGCTCCACTTTCTACACTGGTTCCTGTCGTCTGACAGCTGCTCCGGCCTGACAGTTGTTAAATATCTAAGGGGCAAGGGCGATGTCAACTGGGTGACCCTGCCTCCTTGTGACATCATCATGTGCTGTGATTGGCGAAGTGCATTGCTTTGGCCAATCACAATGCATTGTCAAGGCGCAGTGCATTGTGGGGCACCTTACCCTTCGTGTGTTCGCTGAACACAGGAATGGCCAATGTTCGAGTCGAACATCAAGCCCAACTCTACTACTAATGCATATTGTAGAATGGGTGTACCACCCTATGATAATTCTCTGCCCCCTTGCTCTGCTGCGCCCAGGGTAACTTGCCCCTCTTGCCCAGCCCTCGTCCTGGCTCTGATGGCAGCCTCCAATGACAGAATTTCCTTTAATCCAAGCTAGTACTTTCACAAACACAGACATACTGAATAACATTCTGAAAGCATATTTAAAGCCCCACTCCAGATTAAAACTGTTTTTCCCACCCCTCCTGATCATCTCTATTCCATCCTAATAGGGCTGTTTCTCCTTACCTTGTGAAGCCAGAAATATTCAACTAAGTCTCCCCCTCCAGGTCCTTCAACACCACTATTTCTGCAAATCCAGCAGTATGGTGAAGCCCGAGATCCCTAGTCTCCTACATCAGTCCTCATCTCAATCCTGAGAGAACCCCACCACTGGACATCCAATAGGAAGAGTCCACATCATGTAGCCACTGACATGGACACCCCAAGATAGACCCAAGTTTTTTTTCCCTTTCCATATGAAGACTGATATACTCACCTAAGTCTTCCCTTCCAGGTCCCTCACCTTCACCACTTCTGAAAATCCAGCGGTATGGTGAATCACGAGATCCCTAGTCTCCTACGTCAGTCCTCATCTCAATCCTGAGAGAAACCCCACCACTGGACATCCAATAGGAAGAGTCCACATAATGTAGCCACTGACATGGACACCCCAAGATAGACCCAAGTTTTTTTCCCCTTTCCATTTAAAGACTGATATCCTTACCTAAGTCTTCCCTTCCAGGTCCCTCACCTTCACCACTTCTAAAAACCTGCGGTATGATGAATCACGAGATCCCTAGTCTCCTACGTCAGTCCTCATCTCAATCTTGAGAGAACCCCACCACTGGACATCCAATAGGAAGTGTCCACATCATGTAGCCACTGACATGGACACCCCAAGATAGACCCAAGTTTTTTTCCCCTTTCCATTTAAAGACTGGTATACTCACCTAAGTCTTCCCTTCCAGGTCCCTCACCTTCACCACTTCTGAAAATCCAGCGGTATGATGAAGCCCGAGATCCCTAGTCTCCTATTGTCCCCCTATGATGACGTCAGTCCTCATCTGGATCCTGAGAGAACCCCACCTATCCTTTAGGAACTGTCCACAGCAGGCAGCCAATGACGTGGACACCCAAAGATGGGCCCAAGCAGAAAGTAAAAGAGGAGAAGACTCAGGGCTCCAACATGACATGACTGCAGCTTAAGATAAGTCAAAAAGGGCATCTAGACTTTTTTTTTGGGATTCAGCAAATCAGAACCCCCATCTGATCGCTGGATCCAAAAAAAAAATGTTGGGAGGGGTGGTCATCCGTTTTAATTTATCCCAGAGAGGGATATAAAATTTAGTGAAGTTCACAAATACTAAACAAATTTTCACAGCTGCTGTTCAGATACACATATTCATTTGATGGTTTCTATAGCCATAGTCCAGTTTTGACCCTTGCTGAATATACAGGCCCCAGTGTAAGAACTCTGCATTTACTGTACAGTCTAATGAGAGTGCCAACCAAAACTCTAAGAGTCCCAAATCTTTCATTAATAAAATTACTTCACAGCAGGGCAACGCAAAACAGCCAACATGTTTTGGGGACGAAACAACTCACCCTTCATCAGGGCCATAAAAAGAATGTAAATTAAAAAAATAAATAAATATATATATATGTGTGTGTGTATATATGCAATATATTTTTTCCACCAAAGGCCACTGAAAGGACTTGTTGATACAATATGTTGCCCACGTATTGCCACAGCTGCTACTATGTTGGAACAATTATTTATATGCAGTATAAATTTTTAAAAATTATAGCATGTCATAGTTGATCCTTGAATCATTCACATTTGTTGTTTTGAAGTTCCATTCCAAAATAAAATGTTCATGGTGCCTAAAAGTACCATACCACCTTAGACACCCTCCATCCAAGTATCTCACCCAAGGTACCAATCAGTGCAGTAAATTAATGGGTACTGCGGGGGAGGACCATACTATGACCCCAGCTGCTGCACAGACTCGTGGGAGAGACATTGAACCCATTACAGGAACAGGGGGGGGGGGGGGTGAGGATTTTTGGAAATCTTTTCTCTAGAGTATTGTTGCCACTCTTAGAAGCAAAAGAATTTTTTTTTTTTTTTTTCGACAGTACATCGAAAAGTAAGTCTTAGTTGCCTGCAGACCCAAACGGAAAGGCGGTTTTTAATTACATTAAATTACATAATAACTTGTTTAGCTGTCCTATACTGTTAAGTTATATATCATTTTTTTTTTCATTTTCCTTTAAATAACTGAGAACACAATTGTAGGTGAGAGGCATTTCAATCCATAAAGCATGAATTTCCTTGTAAGTCACACACGCAAGTGCAGTATTGAATTGCTGCAATGTGATTAAGAATAAGGAACATGAAATAGCATTGCTATTGATTGTCAGTGAATCGCGGTCCTCAGATTTACTGCAGGGATCAATAGAAAGCATCCAGCTTCTGCAGACACCAAGCTGAAATCTTTGCTGGTCTTACTTAAAGGGAAACAACAGGTTTCTACAGGATATATACTATATATATACAGTGGGGATCAAAAGTTCGGGCACCCCAGCTAAAAATTTGTATTAATGTGCATAAAGAAGCCAAGGAAAGATGGAAAAATCTCCAAAAGGCATCAAATTACAGATTAGACATTCTTATAATATGTCAACAAAAGTTAGATTTTATTTCCATCATTTACACTTTCAAAATAACAGAAAACAAAAAAATGGCGTCTGCAAAAGTTTGGGCACCCTGCAGAATTTATAGCATGCACTGCCCCCTTTGCAAAGCTGAGACCTGCCAGTGTCATGGATTGTTCTCAATCATCGTCTGGGAAGACCAGGTGATGTCAATCTCAAAGGTTTTAAATGCCCAGACTCATCTGACCTTGCCCCAACAATCAGCACCATGGGTTCTTCTAAGCAGTTGTCTAGAAAACTGAAACTGAAAATAGTTGATGCTCACAAAGCTGGAGAAGGCTATAAGAAGAAAGCAAAGCGTTTTCAGATGTCAATATCCTCTGTTCGGAATGTAATTAAGAAATGGCAGTCATCAGGAACAATGGAAGTTAAAGCAAGATCTGGAAGACCAAGAAAAATATCAGACAGAACAGCTCGCAGGATTGTGAGAAAAACAATTCAAAACCCACGTTTGACTGCACGATCCCTCCAGAAAGATCTGGCAGACACTGGAGT